AGGGAGGCTATGGGAGGGTGCCATCTGGGAAGTGGGTGTATAGTTGAATAAGATGGTTTGGGATGTTCTGTGTGATATACACAGACTACACAAAATCAAATTTTAAATAATGTATTATATTTGAGGAGGAAGCATCGAAATTTACATCATGCTAATTAGTAGCAGTGATAAACATTATTATTGAAATCTACCCGATGACTTTATATCCATGCTTAGATGCCAAGGAGCTCAGAAAGTAACTGACTGTGACTAGTAATAATCACTAGTATTGTCAGATGCATACAGATTAGAGATGCATGTGCCAACATCTCAGTGTTAGTAGTAAAAACAATGAATCTTTCTGCAAGGAACAATATATTCTAAGATGAAATGGAGATCTTTTCTAAAGGTTAAAAACTCATCCAATTTTATGTCTTACAGGGCTTATACTGTGTTCAATATTGTACAACTGTATTAATTCAACTGTGAACCTAGAAACTTACAGCCACTTGTGAAAGAGATGCACTCTTGCTCTGGAGTGTGTTACTGAAAATGCTAAACCTGTAATGAAATGCTTCTTCTAATCATGTAGTTATTAAAAATTTTTTAAAAAGAAGTGATTGCAGAAAGCAGAGTTGGATTTGCAACCAGCTGAACAGCTCCATTGTCTTGAACCAGAGGTACTTATGTAGGTACTTCAGGTAGTGTTATTTATACTTTTTTATATACCTGAAACATTGCGCAATTTTAGAAAGCTAGAACACTAAGCAAGAAATAATTGTGGAGGTGAGATGGAGAAAGGAAATTATTGAAAAAGTAAAATGAATAGGACTTGGTGTTTGATTACAGGTTAGGCAAGCGAACGAGGTATAGAAGCCACCAGATGGGCCCTCAGATCAGTTGGGAGGTGGCAGAATCCATTTGCTCTCAGCGTTTATTCAGCATGTATACCTCTGTTCATTGACTCCCTTCCAGACTCTGGCCCTGGACTGCCCTAAGTTACAGCCTGTTCCTTATGCATAGCCTTGTATTTGCATGCAGTTCCCCCAGCCCTTGGTCAGCCAGTTTTCTGTATCTGTGATTTCAGCATCCATGGATTCAGCCAACTTCAAATCAAAAATATTCAGAGAACAATAACTACAACTTTGTTGTTTGAACATGTATATGTACAGACTGTTTTTGTTATTATTTCCTGAATGATACAGAACATTTATACTGTGTTAAGACCAGTAACTTAGACTTGGTTTAAAGTATGTGGGAGGATGTGCGTAGGTTCTACGCAAAAGCTGTGTCATTAGATCAGGGACGTGAGCACCTGTGTATTCTAGTATCCTCCAGATAGCCTAGGACTGATCTCCCGGGAGACAAGGAGACAGCCAGACTGCTGTGCTTACCCAGCAGCAAAGACCTCATAGGCCCCTCGAGGTTATTAATTGGCAAATCTGCTCATTAAAATTCTAATACTGGTATATGCAGCAGGGCACTTTATAATTTTTAAAGTGTCCTCCTGTGATGAAAGCATAGATGTGCAAAGGCCTCCAGAGCCACCCCCTGCCTATGATTATGAAAAGTGGTCTCTGTAAACAGATACCTCCAAACTCGGAGGGTTGTTTTCTTGCCCTGAGCAGCTAGCTATTCCAGAGTAAAGGGAGGGTCCAGAGGTTGAGGAATTCAGAGTGGTGACACCTTGCCACTCTCCTTAAGGCAACAATGAACTTCAGCCCCAGGGTGTTTCTTTGTCAGCCTGGGTGACCCTGTAACAAGAACCTGCCTTTGCAGGGGAAGGGTCTCTGTGCAATATAGGGCCTTTGTTTTTAAGTGTTGACTTAGTCTTGTTGAATTTTATTCCTTCTCTACATTCTCCACTTACACTTAGTAATATTTATATCCCACTGCTTCTCAAAAAAAAAAAAAATAGCAAAAAATGTCCTTTCAGAGTTTCACACTACAATACGTAGTGTCCCAGAAGTAAGTAGGATGGGCAGGGCTCAGAAGAGACTGGAAAGCCCTGAGCTGTTCTCTCATAAAAAATGCCGTTTCTGGGCTGAGAAGATGTTTCAGTGGTTAAGAGTATTTGCTGCTCTTTGGTTCCTAGCACCCATGTTGGGCAGCTCATAACTGCTTGTAACTCCTGCTCCAAGGGATCTTCTGGATCCCACGGCCTCTTCTGGACTCAGGGATACCTACATTCACATGCATATACACACATATACTTAAATAATATAATTAAAAAATAATAAAATATTTTTTAAAAAGTACCATTTCTGGGTTTTACAAATATCATGGTTCATAGCAGTCTCTCCAGTTGGCTGGTAGAGGTAGCTGTTTTCTAATTCTTACTACTGTCCATCAGATTGTTTTGGGGAAAAGATGTGAAAAAAAAACCCGAGTCAGACATGGGACAACCACTTAAATAACAAAAATGATTTAAAACTCTTAGAAATATACATGTAGAGTTAAAATTAGAAATGGAACCAGCATTCCTAAATGCTTGGAATTTTTAGCATTGAGTTTATGTAATTACTGAATGGTTTGGGATGGGGGCTCTTCAAGTTGAGTGAGTCAGCTGTTCTTCATGAAGTGGGTCAGGCATTCCATTTCTCCCAGAGTTCATGCACCTGTGTCCTCAGCAGTTTTACTACCAAAATGTTCTGTTATGATTTATTCTTCAACCCATGATTTAAGAAAAAAAAATTTAACATTCCAATCTACTGGGAATCTTGATGTTTCTGCTACTAGCTTTCTTTCACCCAGTCGCTCAGTGGTCAGGTGGCATGGACTGGGTGATGCCACTTTTAAAAATGCATTGAACCTTTGTCAAATTCTTTTCCTTCCCATTTTAACCCAGTGTGGCTGTTTAGAGCAAAGCAATTTTCACTTATAAGCTAATTATGATAAACCTCACTTGTAAACTAACTCCGTTATAAACTTAACAGTGTACTCTAAGAATCTTGCTGCTAAAGCTTGTTTTCAATTGAATAGGCCATGCATGAGTTCTTAGGGTCCTAACAGTCTCTGCATTTACTGCAGGAATCCTAGAGGCAGATTGGTTTCTAGAGATCTGTTAACTGTTTCCCTTATTATGTCAACCAGGAGTATGCTGTGAACTGCCACGTGATCACCTGGGAGCGGATTGTCAGCCACTTTGATATATTTGCATTTGGGCATTTCTGGGGCTGGGCCATGAAGGCCTTGTTGATCCGTAGTTACGGGCTCTGCTGGACAATCAGTATCACCTGGGAACTGACCGAGGTAAGACATGGTCAGGGGGTCATCAGGGTTTCTCAGAGCTCACAGTGGGTGTAGAAGAAGCAGTGAGGTGTTAGGCAGTAGTCAGTACTGCCTCCAGTCCTCCAGCCTCTGGTGTACGAAACCAAACTTACATTATCCTATGATAATATTTGGTACCTTTGTTTAAACAGCAGGACTAAACAAAATTGTGTACTTATTGTAGTATGTTCCTGGACCATAAGTCTTGAAGAAAAACAAATGAAACTAAGCTAAAGAATGAAGTTAAAGTCCAAAGTGAGACAAACGAAGAGGAAATCTGTGCAGAAGTAAATGAATCACTTTACCCACTAGAATTAGGTGTTCTGATTCCAAAGGTGTTTTGTCACTGATAATAGCTTCCCAATAGAGGTCCCTTATCAGAAGTTTGCCTGAATTAATGAGAGATACACTCTTGAGAAACTGTTAACAAAATGAACGTTGGGGAGCAGCTTCACTACTGTTCAGTTTTAGATCATTAATCATCCCAATGAACAGAATTTGGCCTCATACACAGTATTTTCCAGAGCCAGTTAGGTGAGCTAGGGTATGTTCCCAGTTTGGGAGACTCGAAGTCTGGGATCCAGCTGTAGACACGGCTGCTTCCTTCTGAGGGCTGCTTTGGAGACCTCCCAGACCTCTCTCCTGCCTTTGCCCACTGTGCTGGCACTCTTTGGCATTCTTTTGCATCACCCCGATCTCTGACTTCATCATCGGGTGACCCTCTCCCTGTGTTTGTCTGGGCTTTCCTGAGATTCTTTTTACAAGACATGAGTCATAAATAGATGAGGACTCACTCTATTTCACTCTGACCTCATCTTAAATCGTAACCTCTAAGATAGCTCCATTTCTTTCTGAAGGTGAGTTCTCCTTCTGAGACACCGGAGGCCAAGGCATGGGAATTTTGAGAGGATGAGGCGCAGCTCATCCATAGCAGTGTTCAGCTTCTCATATGCATCACTGGTCTTCCCAGTCAATGTGGAAGGCCGTGTGTATTTATTCCCATTGCACAGACAGAACAACTAAGGTCAGCAGAGCTTTGCAGAAGAGCCACACTTTCATTTCAGATCAAAGCCTGCTTTCCTACCATTAGACCGTGTTCTACCTCAGATTCGAAGCATCTTCCCCTGACTGTGCAAGACAGCTGGCCTTTCTCAGCCCCGCTTGCTTTCCCTCTTTCAGGGACATCTGCTGCCCCTTCTGTGCTGATCCCCTACACACTGTAGTCCCCAATCCTAAACACCTATACAACCACTGAAGGCTTCCATCCCCTTTCTCCCACTTATATCTGATCCATCTATTGTGTGAAGTGTTTATCTTCACTGTGTAGCCAAACACATCCTTTGCAGACCTCCACCAGATCAAGACTCCTTCCTCCTACATACTCTTTAGTAGTCCACTGCTCTTGAAATGGAATAAAGACTTTGAGTCAGCTTGTAAGTCCAAAGAGGAACTGACTGCTACCTCCCAGCCTGGCCTCATTGAGCTTCTCTCTCCCAAGCTTTTCCTCCAGCTGTCTTTGTTCTTCATATTTCTAAAGACCTTTTACCACTGTCCACCAGAGCCCTGGGCACAGTCCTTCCCTCTCTTTACGTACTCACCTATTGTCTCCCTGGCTCTGCTTCTGAAAGAATGCTTTCCCTGCCCCTCCACTAATGACACTCCATGTTTAAACCCTATGCTGGATAGCTTTATTGTCAACTTGACACACCTGGGTTGAGGGAGCCTCAATTGGGGAATTGCCTCCATTGAACTGGCCTGTGGCCATGTCTGTGGAGCATCTTCTTGATTGTTGTGTGACATGGGAGGGCCCAGCCAACTGTGGGTGGTGCCACCCCTGGGAAGGTGGGCCTGTGTTGCATAGAAAGCAGGCTGAGTAGGAGCCAGGGGAGCAAGCCAGTAAGCAGTGTTCCTCCATGGCCTGTGCTCCAGCTCCTCTTTCCAGGTTCCTGCCCTGAGTTCCTACCTTGGGCTGCCTGATGAACTGTGACCCAGGAGATGTAAAATAAAATAAACCCTTACCTCCCCAAGTGGGTATTGGTCAGAGTATTTTGTCACAGCAATGGAGAAACAAGCTAGAACAACCCCCCAAAAAGTACCTCAACTTTCACGTCCAAAACACATTTTAGACATGTGATAGACATTTGTCTTCTCTCATAAGAGGTTAGGACCCATGTCTGCATGTCCCAGATCCAAGTACTGTACCTTACATACCACAGGTGCTCCATAGTTTTATTGTGAGTGAATGGTGGTGCCCCTGCTCCTCAGGTACCATCTCTTGTGATATATCTTGCCCCAGAATCTGGTACCCCTAGATTGAAGGGCATTTTCCATGGATACCCTGGGCATATTTTGGCAAATAAGTATGTCACTGGCTTCTGTAGTTTCTTTCTTCCTAATCTCAGGACCTGTGTTTTAGCTGTGCCTGGTGACTTGGAACCTGGGAAGACCCACAGGGATAATGTCAACCTCCTCCTCAGCTCAAGAACACAGCCACAGCCCTCATATGCAGTAGCTGTCCTGTGGCTTCTCAGTAGCAGGCACATCAAGAAGAAAAATTCCTCTTGGTTTTGTGTTGCTTCTTACAGAATGCTTTCATGGCTACGGCTGTAACTTCACGGTGTTCATTACATTACTCATGATGACATCCTCATCTCTTCAGAGAACTCCCTGGCATATTCTTTGCAATTTCACCTTTAAGTTGGGTCTTCACACAGTAGGGTGCGCTGCTCTGGACATACAGATACACCCTTTATTTTGGGCAAAATTGTTTCCGAAAGAGACTTTTGTTTCACACTTGAGCTTACTGTCAGCCCTCTCTGGAATGCTCTTCTCTCCTTTTCTGTCTCTTAAAATGGGTCGTTCCTGTTGAAGTTCCTACTTCAACATATCTTCCTTCCAGAAGCTTTTTCCAGTCATCCTCAGTCAGAGTGAGCCCATCTTGTGCCCGCAGTATTCCATATGTGTCACAGTTGTAGTCCGGGCCCCTGTCTAGCTTCTTTTGTAGCTCTTGTTATCTGGATACCTTGACTTCCTGTTGTCCTGTGTGGTACACATCATGGTGCCTATTGGAAGATCACATCAACCGCTGTGCATCAGCAGCTGGAGACATCTTGCTCCCGGTTTCCTTCACCATGACATCAAGAGCCAACTTTCTGCTTTTACACTTACTCACTGGTTTCCCACCATACTGGCATAATTCCCAAATGCCCGCCATCCTTTCTCAGGCCTCTTGTTTGAGGATTATGTGAGCACCTTGTTGTCAGATGCAAAAACTTCTCTTTTTCCCCTCCCAGATCCTTGCTGTGTCATTTAACATGATTCATTGGTATTTACTTTTTAGAGCTGCCATTGTTTCTTTAAAATCCAATCCTTAAAACAAAACAAAGCAACAGAGCAACAAAGCAAAACAACAACACGCACACAGGCATGGACACGCACGCACACAGATATACTTGTTGTTTGCAAAAACTCTGCAATGTAAAAAGCAAGAACCTGACTCACACTGTTATTGTTGTTTTTGTATACATTAGGAAAAGAGAAAGCAACTTTTCTGAACCAGCATGTTGTTAAAAGGAATGTATGCATGGCACCCCAGTGATAGCGTTTTTCCAATCATTATCTTTGTGTTCCTCAGCTTTTCTTCATGCATCTTCTGCCCAATTTTGCCGAGTGCTGGTGGGACCAGGTCATTCTGGACATCCTGTTGTGCAATGGCGGTGGCATCTGGCTGGGCATGGTCGTTTGCCGGTTCTTAGAGATGAGGACTTACCACTGGGCAAGCTTCAAGTGAGTCCTCTTCCTTTGGACCTTGGGTAAGGTGTATATATTTGGGGCTTTTACAAGGAGTAGGTTTTAACACAGTCATTCATGATAAGGGGTAAAGGTTGGGAAGGGATAAATGCCATGTTAGCAGTGAAAACTCACAGATGATTATAAATCTGATTTCAGACATTGATATGCAAAATATTGCTGGGTATAGTGGCTAACATCTGTCATCTCTCCACTTGGGAGGCTGAGGTTCAAAACCAGCCTGGCTATATAGCGAGACCCTGTCTTAAAAAAAACAAAAACCCAAAAACAGAACAAAAAGGTAAAGGAAATACTAAGTCATTTATGATTTTCTTTTTTTCACCCTGTATACTTAAAAGTTCTAAGCACCTTCTTGGTTCAAAATAATTCTCAAGTCCACTCCTTCCTTTTAATCCATACTGCCTCAACCTGAATCCAAACTCTCAGTCCTGGGTTAAATGGACTCCTGTCCCTGAGGATCATACCATTGCTTGAATGAGCTCTCGAAGAATAGATTCATGATGTCACACCACTGTCATGACTTCTCTGGGTCTTCAGTACTAAGAGTCCATCCACAGACTGAGAGGGAGGACCCTTTTCCATGTCCTGCCATGACCACACAGAAGCCCCTCCTGTTCACATGGGACTAACTCGTGTTCTGCATACCAGGCCGCACCTCCTTGGCCGACTGGCTTACCTCATCCGGAAGCTGTCCCTGACTCTAGTTTGAGTGCCACATCCCTTCTCTGTGCTTCTGGAAGAACAGTACATGTAGCTGTCATTACTTTATTCTGCTCAGCTCAGGTTGCTCCTCACCTTGTGGCAGGAACCATGCCACAGTTAAGGAGGAAGAGGTCCATGGTGATGATGGAAGTAGTAGTTTGCACATCTGAAGCCTAGTTTATTTTATATAGCAAGACATGAGCATCCCCCACATCATTCAATATCTTCTCAAAGATGATTGTACAGGACTTTTTCATGTATATCCCAACATATAGACATATAATAACCTAGCTGACTAGTTTCCATTATGCTCATCATTGTCTCGAGGGCTTTACTGTTATAAGTAAAACTATAGTGAAAATCATGGCATATACCTGTGTATCTGTGTGCTTTCTAGTCTTTTTCTTTTGTAAATTTCTTATAGAGTACACCAATTTAATATACTCTCACCTATCTTGAATATATAAATATATTCATTCACTATTTCTTTGAATTTCTGTGATTTTCATACAGTATAATTTGGGGGAGGGGCTTTTTGAGACAGGGTCTAGAACTCGCTGTGTAGACCAGGCCAGCCTCAAACTCACAGAGATCTGCCTGCCTCTGCTTCCCAAACGCTGGGACTAAAGGTGTGTGCCACCATGCCCAGCTCATCCAGTATAATTTGATGGTATTTAGATCCCCTACCCTATCCACACCGCCTTAGTGCCTCCACCCAATTTAATGCATTCTATTATAATTAAAATAAGGCTTATTTTAATTATAATAGAGTCTAATTTGTGTCTCCAAATGTGGGTCCTCAGCCATGGGGTAGGAGTGGGGGTTAGAATGCAGTGAATTCCTTTTTAAACCTTTCAGATTTTTCCTACATGAAATTGAAAGGCTCTCTAGTCTAATTCTTTTGCAGTGTATGTCCCTTTCTGCTGCTTTTTATAGGTCAGGGATATTAATGTGTTGTCATCAGTGGAACTTTTTTCCATTCTGTCCTCTTTTTAATTTACTCTGGGTGGGTTCTTCATTAGAATCTCAAAATGTTTCATCTTTTTGTTCAGATAATGTTAACATATATTTTCAGTTTTCGTCTCTTCCCCTACCCCTGACTGCCCACAGTACTTAGAATCCAACCCACTGCTTTGTATATGCGAAGCAAGTTCTCTGTCACCAACTTACACTCCCAGCCCTCTTTTTATTTTGTTTTGAGGCAGATCTTGCTAAATTGACTGTGAAGGCCTTGAATTCACTCTATAGCCCAGGCAGACCTTGAACATTTTAATCCTCCTGATGCACCTCTGTTAGTTTTTATTACAGGCTTGCACCACTAGGCCCCACGCCTTTTAGTTCTTCATTGATACTGTCTTTTTCTTTAGAAGTATTATGCTTGATCTTTCTCAGATTTATTTGTTGTTTGTTAAGTTGTAGTGTTTGGTTTGGTTTGGTTTGGTTTGGTTTGGTTTGGTTTGGTTTGGTTTGGTTTGGTTTGGTTTGAGATAGGACCTCACTAAGTAGTTCAGGCTGACCTTGACTCATTCCTCCTGACTTAGCCTCTTGAGTGCTGGGGTTAGAAGCCCACATCATCATGCTTATTCTGTCTCAGATTTATTTTGGTATGTGATGCAAAGGGTAGATTTCATACCACTAATTAGCCAGTTTATCTTAGTTCTCTTATTAATTTCTTCTTTGCCCACTGAGTTGAGAGACCTTTTTAGTGCTTAAAGGTATTTTACGATGTAACAGACAGTGTCTGGGCTAGATGCTGCTCCAAGCAAGTGGGGCAAAGTGTCACTGTGGAGCCTTGAGACAGCCCTACTGATAGACTGCTGCTCTTATTTGGTAGATGGCAATATTGAGGCCCAAGTTTGGTGACTTGCCGAAGGACAGACAGCCACGAAGTGGTGGAGTCTGAATTTACACCAGGCTGACTCAGATACAACCATAATACTTACCTATTTTTATCTATTTATCCTTTATATTCAACTTAGAATCATTTTTTGAAGATACCAGAACATAAACACACTATTAAACAAATAAAAGATTTGGTATTTTTAAGCCACATTAAATATATAAATTAATATAGAATAAATAGATTGACATTTTCACTACATTAAATATTCTTCTTTTGAATCAGAATATTTCTATTTCCATTTTCTAGGTCTTTCCATGTTACCTTTGGCATTTTAAAAATAAAGATCCTTTGCTGTTCTTGTTCATTTGGGGGCAGTCTCTGATCTCTTCCTAGTGTATCCCTGTGAATGGGCTGGCAGGTGGATAAAGGACCAGACCTTGTCTCCTCTACTCCTCTGCCCCTCTCCCTCTAGAAGGAAAGGTCTGATACCTTGTTACTTGTGTTTTCAGCACTGAGCCTACAGTCTAAGTCCTAAAAGTCCTCTGTATAAATATTTGTTGAATTAGACTCCCTATATGTATTAGATGATATTTGCTTTGGATTTTGGCTCTCCTCAAGCATGAAGGTTGGGATTATATCCAGCTCTGATGCTAACAAGACTGGTCTGTCACAGCCAGCTGCCCTTTGAGTCTAAAGCTTCTCATTTATAATATGTTTCTGTTATGAGCCAGGGAAACTTGAATGAGTAATTCCTAGGATTAAACCCAGGAAAAGTTAAACAGCACTGTCACCGTACTCTTGGGGAGAAAAAAGGTGAGTTTTCCAAAAAGGACATTGGTGAGCTCAAGACCAGGAAACAGGAACCATGTTACCAAAACAGCATCCCCTGGGAGACACACAGCAAGTGGCAATAGCAATCTGCATTCTTCTTGGACAGATTCCATACTGTGTCTTTAATGCTTGCCCACTGCTTTTGACACCAGTTTACAAGCAGCCCTCTCCTGCCTCAGCAGCACCCTGACCCCTGGCCCCATTGACAGCGCTGTACCCTGCCCATCATCACTGAAGTCCCTGTCTGATGTGCTTCTGTCACCTGTGAATGGAGAGACCTTTGCTTGAGATCCTTCCAATGGAAAGAGCTCTTTGTTTTGAGTATTGGTAGAACATCACCAGTGCAGTTTTCCCCTCTCCCCTTCTTTCTCATGTCTTTGGATTTCACGGGAGCCATCTTCTTCCTCCAGGGACATCCATACCACCACAGGGAAGATTAAACGCGCCGTGCTGCAGTTCACTCCTGCAAGCTGGACTTACGTGAGGTGGTTTGACCCCAAGTCTTCCTTTCAGAGAGTGGCTGGCATATATCTTTTCATGATCATCTGGCAGGTAATCTTACAGATGTCCATTCTAAGGGGAAAAACAAAAACATAAACCTTCTTGGGATTTAGAATTCACAGTAGTTTACATTGCATCTCAGCTAGATACTTGCGAAGATACCGGCAGCTAGCATGCAGAGTAAACAAAGCAATACTAATTTGCCTGAGGACTTGCTTCATTGTGGAGACCTTTTAAAATTACGAATTAGAAACCTAGATTGCCTGGAAAAGGCCCTGTTTGGCATCTATCACCCAGTGAAGTAGGCACAGCATTGTTCTGTAGAGTAATCATTTTCAAAAGCAGAAGAACAGGGAGGAGGCTTTCTCTTTTTGTTTTTATTTAGTTTTAAATTTTGTGGTGCAGAGTATAGAATCCATGGTGTCCATGGAGTGCCAATCCAGCTCTCACAGATACTGAGAAACTGAGGAACAGTTATTTATAAAAATGAGACATGGGTTAGCATTTAGCCTCTTTTTTTTCTTAATTGGGAGACATGATTGGATTTACCAAGGTGAGATGGTATAGCTTCCAAAATGGAAGCACCTTCTTGGCTTTCTTTGGAGCACGTCTTTCCTGTGGTCTTGAGCACTGTGCTGTGATCAGCTGTCCATATGTAGCACTAATTCCCAATCTGCTTAACTTGTGTCCTTAAAGTTAGTGCCATGGGAAAACAACACATGTTGTATCTAAGAAATGTACATGACAGTTCATGTGATATGTTCTCAAAGCACAGTGACCTTTCCTGTGGTCACTGTCCCCTGCTAAGGATGAAAAGCCAGGCTCTGGACAGATAGTGGTCACATCCTAGCTGTAGGGACTTTTGTGCTGTTCCAAGAGCTCAGTGTGGAACACTGAGGTAGGATGCTAATCTCAGAAAAAGCACCACTAACCATAGGTGGAATTTGAATCCACCCTTTGAATCTGTTTTTAAGAGCTGCCTTTGGTCAAAGATTGGTCTGTCTGAGGTGTGGTACTCTCCTGCATAGTCATGTCTTAGAAATGAATCTGGAACTTCTCTCAAATGCATCTCTAGACTCTTTGGGTAGAATTTAATTTATCTGGAGTTGGACTTTCTTTAGACCTAGCCTGAGTCCCAAAAAGCTACACAGCATCTAGTTTCACGATTGCTGCAGGGTTGAAAGCAGTTTGTCCTGACTGTCTCAGCAAATCACACATGAGCCAAGTGGCAGTAAAGCAAAACAAAGCCAAAGAGAAAGCATGACAGATAGCCGATGACTAAGCCTTGAGCACGCCTCCTGCCACCCCAGCCCCACCACCCCAGATCTCAGTTGGTCAATGCTCATGTACTAGCTGTTAGTAGTTTAGGTATCAACCCCCCGGGAGACCCCAGTTATTTTCTGAAAATGCTTTGGACACACTGGTTATTTTTAACTCTAGAATGTCTATTTGAGGAATGTATGCTTATGACCTAGCCTGACATACCAGGATGACTAATTTCTCCTTCTTTTTCAGCTGACTGAGTTGAATACCTTCTTCTTAAAGCACATCTTTGTATTCCAAGCCAGCCATCCCTTGAGTTGGTGTAGAATCCTCTTCATCGGCTGCATCACGGCTCCCACAGTGAGGTAATTCTGTCCAGCCTCATGATCACAAATCTACTTCATGTTTTCCTGCTTGGCAGTCGCATCAACTAGCAGTTTTTCTATGAAAATGCCATTCTAAGTAATTTTATGTAGAACATGAAGGAAATGTTTTGAAGGAAACGTTTAGAGTTTTAAAAAAGAGATTACTCAGTGCCACACCCATAAGACTGTTCATTACTTTCAAGCCCCTGTGCAGTCTGTCACTACTGGTCCTCTGCTCTCACATTCTGTTATAAAGTAGTGAAGGTGACACTGAGATTTCCTAAAATGAGATTATTGGTAAGTACAGAAGTTGTTATGGTAGAATTGAAGTCATGAGTAACATTACTTTTTAGAAGGAGACCTTTGTGGGGCTGGTGCCATGTCTCAGCGGTTAAGAACACTGGTTGTTCTTCCAGAAGACCTGGTTCAAATCCCAGCACCCACATGGCAGATAACAACTGTCTGTAACTCCAGTCCCAGGGGATCCAACAGCCTCTTCTGACCTCCGCGGGCATTGCACGACATGGGTGCACTTACCTACATGCAGGCAATACACGCACACACATAAAATAAAAATAATATTTAAAAAAAAAAAGAAAGAAAGAAAGAGACCTTTGAGATTCAGTTAAGCTGACTTCCTTTTCAAGATGCCCTTGTAGTCCTCCAGGACAGCCATCGGATGGAAAGTATTCATGTAGGGTAAGAGGAGGGATGTCATTCACTGTCCTTCATGGACACTGATCTGGGCATTTCAAAGCAGAGCATTGTCACTTGATTTAGTTTTTGGTTTAGCAAGGCATTTACGTTTTATAACTCATGTGGAGTTCAGGCCTTAATCAGTAGCCACATCAGGATCCGCCAAAGAGACAAATATAAACTAAGCAGTTAAAGGAGTTAATTTCAAAAGCCATGGGATTATTTAGTTTATCATTTCTCTTTACATTTATTTATTTGTGTGTATATATGTGTGAGTATGTGTGTGCCATGGCACTCATGTGGAACAACGTGGGAAGCTCAGTTCTCTCCTTCTACCTAATTTGCTCTGGGGATCCAACTCAGGTTATCAGACTTGGAAGCAAGTGTCTTTACCTGCTAAACCGTCTCACCAGCCCAATTTGTCATTTTTAATATGTGTTTGAACCCCACCAGTAGAGGGTCTCCTTTGGAAAGAAGGATGTCTACCTTGGGCAAAGAGACCCCACAGCCAGCAGGTCCTGTCATCATCATCATCACCAATACCAACACCAAAAATAAAATTAGAGAAGGTATCTCGATCTTGGATTGAATAAAACAAACCAAGTAAGACAAGGCTGAGTCCTGTATAATTAAACGTCAAATTCCATCTTGCTTTTTTTTTATGACCCAAACAGGAAAGTGACATTTGATAAGCCAGCAAGACTTTAAATATCATAGGCCAGTGGCCTTACCTTGTAAATGCTGGTTTTCTATAATGGTTTGGAGCTGTGTTCACCCATTCCCCACTTAAAATTTTACTTAGTTTCAAAACTCATAGCTTCATTTTCAGAAATAATTAACAGCAATCAACAAAGTCAATAGGAAGGAAAATTAATCTTAAAACACCAAATAGCAAATCCCAACTGGTTTACCATAGAATTTTAGCACTGTTAACATTCCAAAATAGAAACTAGAATCTGAAAATCTACTGGTGTTGTGGAATTCTGTACTTCAGACATTACATGGCTATTGGCTGTCTTCAAATCAGAGCAGCTAGGATTACCTGCATCATGAGCCCCTTCCCAATCAGGAATATAAGAGTTAGCAGTTTCCAGCTGGAGAGAGGGAGACTTTGGTGGTGTTGCTGCCTGTAAGTTGCCCATGTTCCTTTAAGTAACCTCCCTCCTCATGCTCTTGTAAGTTACGCCAAATAAACTCATTGGTACATCAAGGTAACCCTGGGGAGAATTCATCTTTGGCCTACTGTTGCCCTTTAGATCTGGGGTAAATAGAAATAGACTCCCTGGGAAAAGTGACACAACAATATGTTTTTAACTTTTGAGTGCTCCAGAGTTTTTCCAGACTATTTTCTATACAATTCCTTTTTTGCTTAAAGTCAGCCATTTTTTGTGCATTTATGTTGCTTGAGCAGTTCTTATGTAAAAAGGTTCCTTTAAGTGACTTGGAAAGATAGATGTGCTCTTGTGAATTTTAATGCCTATCTCATTTAGCAAATTCAGAGAGAATGCACAGGCCTCAGGGTAAATCCTGGTAATTTGCATCACTACTGCCATTTCCTCATCTTTGATGAAACTGGACATGAAGTAGCTTTGGGGAGCATTGAGTAAACTTTCTTTTGATAATATAAAGTTCAGTATGAGGGGCTGGGTGCAGCTAGAGGGCAATGTAGTCGAGCTAGTAAAAGCCATCAGGTGAGGTAAGAGGGGAGACCCTGCATGCAGAATTGTTTACTCTAGGGACTTTGAGGCAAGGTGATTATAGTTCATGGATGAGCTTTAGGTATCTGAGTCTCACAGGGCTTTCATGTCAGATTTTGCCAGCATGTATTGTGTGCCCTTGCTATAGAGTTTCTCAAATCCTCAGGGGAACCTGTGACCTTCTCCTTTGCCAATGGTCAGCTCCTGGTTCCTGTGCTCCCTCCACAGGCATAGAGTTCAGGTGTACTTTTGAGACTTCAAGCTACACTCTTATTTGACAACAACTTACCAAACATGGCTGTTAAGCTCTAGAAATGTGCACAGTCTACATGCAAATCATACGCAGACATACCAGATTTCAAACAGTTAATACAAAAACAGTATAAAAAATCTCATTCTGGGTTTTTGTTTGTTTGTTTGTTTGTTTGTTTGTTTTTGGTCTTTTTGAGACAGGGAATCCCTGTAGCCCCAGCTGTCCTGGAACTCACTGTGTAGACCAGGCTGGCCTTGAACTTAGAGATCTGCCTGTCTGCCTCCCAAGTGCTGGGATTAAAGGCATGCATCCAGCTTCATTCTGGTATTTTAATATCAGTTTAAATACTGGTCACTCTATTGAAGTGAATTTTATCTGTCCTCTTTATCTTAATGTAGCAAAGGGAAAATCTAAATGGCATCTGTGGCTCATAGCGTAATTAGGTCTGTTGACTTCTGCTGCTCTGAGCATTTGAACACCCTTGTTGATCTTGTCAGCAATTCAAGTCATGGCATGCAGCGATGGTGAGGTGCAGTAGGACCCCTCCAGTGTCTGAGAACCAAAAATGTATACATTTTGTTTGCTGGTTCCAGTCAGTACCCATTGTCTGATGTGCCATAGGAGACAGTAGAAGAAGCCTGAAGTTGACTCTCTGGAATGTCCTCCACAGAGAGATTGGATTAACCCAGCTGCCTTTCTTCAGGGCTGTGGGAATGAATGGGGCTAGGCCAAGGCTGCCTTTGCCAACAGCAAAGCTCTGTAAGCCAAGTTCTCCTCACTTCCACTTGACCCCAGTTCTCAATCTCTGACTGAAATGTTTTCTTGGGTAGACTAGACCCAGCAGCTGGAGTACAGCAAGCAGGGCAGGACAGGTTTCACATTCCCTCTGTCAAAGTGACGTAATTATGTATGGCCTTGATCTTCGAGAAGCCCTAACTGAATCCCAATTCTGTTCTTTCAGACAGTACTATGCTTACCTCACCGACACGCAGTGCAAGCGCGTGGGTACGCAGTGCTGGGTATTTGGGTGAGTATCTGTTATTGCAATCGTTTAAAAAAAATTTAAGCCCCTATATTTCTTTGAATATTTCTTAAGTGTCTTTCAGTATAATTTCCCATGGAGTCAATTAAGGTTTGTCATGTATTTTTGTCAGGAAATTGGAAAATATTCCCCAAAGAACTCAAAGACCTTATTTTATGAAATAAAGTACATGGAATATGAATCAATTGAACTTGTATGACATGTTTGAATTTGGGTCATTATGTTGTCCTGGCCTTAGCTGTACCTCATATTATTTTGACCCTAGAAGACCTGCTTGAAACAGCTGCTGCTTATATAGTAAAACATAATTTTATTGCTCAAAGAGTTAACACAGCCACGTGGTTACCAATTGCTGTGTTGTTGTTGTTGTTTATACAAATGCTGTGTCATAATTTGCTGTTTATCTGATATGGAAGAATTCTCCAAAACTGCCTTGAATGTCAGCCTCTCACTTCAGTGGTGTCATCCTACTGCTTCAAAACCAACAATTTACCATCTTAGTTTGTACCCAGAGTTCAAGAGAGGTTCAGGAGATCTGTATAGGACAAGTCCCTGATGTTGCCTAGATTCAAGACCTAATCTAGGTTCTAATTGGAGTGGAATAGTGTAGAGGAAACTTGAGGAACTCCATAGTAGAGAAGAAAGGATTTGGGATGGAGTTAGGAAGCATTGCACCTACCTGGGTAAAACTTCAGAGAGAAATATAGAAGAAACTGAGGATCACCCCAGGAAGTCAGCCCTCCAGAGAGGACTGCCGTGACTGCTGTGACTCACTGCCTCCCCCCTCCCCCAAGCACTCTGATATTTTCCTCACTCTCCACCTTTTGCATTGAGGCAGGTTCTCTTAATTGAACCCAGAGCTCAAGGATTAGGATAGTCTGGCTAGGCAGCTTGCTCCCAGGCTCTCTTGTCTCTGCCTTCTGGGAGTTGGAATTACAGGTAGGCTGCCACAGCTGCCCAGTGTTGACTAGGTTCTGGGGATCTGAACTCAGATCCTCATGCTTGCACTGCAAATGCTTTACCCACTGAGTCATACCTCACCACCACCCACCCCCAAGCCCCAGATCTGAGCTTTTTAGAAAAATTTTTGTAAGACAGGTGTGACAGATATGATGGCACATGCCTGTAATCTCAGCACTTGGAAGACTGAGGCAGGAAGACTGTAAGTTCAAGGCTGGCCTGGGATGTATAGCAAGATCCTGATCAAAAAACAAAGCCAAAAAAAAAAAAAACCCAACCTATTTTATACTTAAATTTGTTTCATACAACAGAGCCAGGGCTCCATCCAGCTAGGAGATGGGACCTCAGAGAGGTATAAGTCAGTAGTGTGGAAAAGGTGGTCTCTTCTCTAGTAAGAAGTCACATCAGCTGGGAGGAACTCAATTGATCAAGTGCTTGCCTAGCATACACAAGGCCCTGGGTTCAAACCCCAGCAACCCTCCTACTTACCCCAAAGCCATATTGTGACTATTCCTTTAGCCCTAGGGAAATTTGGGGACCAGACTGATGTGAGTGAATTCCCCAGGTATAAGTTTATATTGCCTTTGTCTTTGTCTTTTTCCACACTCCACTCCAATTATAATTGAGCATGTATGCCTAAAACAGAAAGAATTGGCCCAGTTTTACAATCCAGAGGTATGATTGTCACCTGCTCCTAGAATATGGCTGAACATTGACAGGACAGTAGTGCACAGTCACTCTCCACCCTGGAGAATGCTCACATTGGACCTTCATGGGAGGAGGTCTGCTGAGGCCCACAGCTGGGTCCTGCCTTCTACCAGTTACTCTGCCCCAGCAGCCTCTCATCATGACATCCCAGCTCTTCTGATACCTATCTCCCACCATAAGTGTCTACCGTGAGACTCTCCTTCCAAGGTAGGTTCCAAATCATTCTCCTCTCCCAAACCTTCCTCACAGAATCTATCATTTGAAAGTGTTCTCTTCCTTTTGCAAACTCTATCCTGGATAGCCTTCGCTTTTCTCAGCTTCCTTTGCTGGCTTTCCATTGTGTGCACTCTTCCCCTTATCATTTCTCGTAATTATTCTCTTATTCTTAAAGCCTCATAGCCTCAGACTGTCCTACAGATGGAACTATAAAACGGGAGAAAGGAGTAAGCTATAGGGAGAAGGTATGAGATTGGGAGGAGGAGGAGTCCTCACCCAAACCTGTGACCCTGCTCAGTACTTCCTGTGGTTCCAAGACCACAGTCTTGCTGGCCAACCATTGTCTCCCAGCCTTTCTCTGAGCCTCTCTTCCAGGCCCACCATGCCTTTGTCACAGGCCCTGAGCATCCTTCTGCACTATCTTCACCCCATGATCTACCTCTTCACTCTGTCCTCTCATCAGTCACCCTGTCTCTACCCTGTCCCAGGCCCTGAGCTTGGGAGTGGCTCAAGAACACCTTCCTCATATCTCAAGAACTGTGGCAATAGTTCTTTTTGGATGATTTTCACAGCTGACTTTGCTACTTCAGATGGCACCTTGTCCTAAACCCTAATAGGTATAGAGAGAGTAGCGCAGCACCCAGGACCCTCTTCCCCTCTTCCCCTTGGGGTTCTCTCAAAGCCTAGAAGCTTTGGAGCACAGTTGCAATTTTCTCTCTCTAGTGGGCTTAGCTTCACTCTCTAGTGCAACTCTTCCTTCCTCCAAAAAAGTGTCTTGGCTCACCCCAGCCAGAACAGGAAGCCCACTCCTGAACATTGAGAGCCCTGCCTGGCTTCCTGGGTGACTTTAAGGAGTTAAATTTGGAAAGCACATCTCATTTCCACTATTAGAGGCTGGCTCCGGGCTCCTACTAGTATCAATTCCTGTTAATACTGTCTAGGAGTACAGGAATAGGTTTGTTTCTCTGTGATTAAAGAATTAAAAGGCAGGAAAATATTTGAAGTCAAGCAAAACCAAAATTTACTGAAAAAGAACAACTTTAGTAGAGTTTAAAGAAAAGAAAAACTCAGGACAGGCAAACTGTAAATCTCAGAAGCTGCCTGGAGGAAGAGAGTGGAGAAGGAAAAAAGTCATGAGCTGCATGGTGGGGAGCGGGGCCGCAGAGAAGTAAGGATGCCCAAAGTACCAGAAAAGGCATACTTAGGTTCTGACTAGCATCTGAAAGAAAGAGAGGAAAAAAGCAAAAATGCACCTTTGGGATAAGCAGACCCAACAGAACCTCATGGTAGTCTTTAGGGACTAAGCTGGGGGGGGGGGAGAGATTCTGGGAAGGAAAAGTTATCTCATTAAAGGGATAATTATTTCTTCTATCTCTTTAGCATGGTTTAAGGTGAGTCTGCCTTTCTAAAGGTGGTCCTATCTTCCTTGGCCAGGTGATTGACTGTCACAGCTGGATTTACTCTTTTTATATGTTTGGTGGCTTAGAATCTTAGGTCTCCATCCAGGCCAGAGATTTCAACTTCTTGGCCAGAAGAAACTGTTTTCCTAATGGGCCTTTATTGCTGCTGTGTCACTGTGCCTCTGAGAAACTGTGAGACCCAGGGAGGTGGCCCGTGTGGCTGTGGGTTGTCCTCAAAATCTAAGAGTAGGCTTTGTTGGCAAGGTGAAAGCCCCTTACGGGATTATCCAATCAGTTTATACCCAAGTCTAGAGCTTTTGTACCTCAAGTCCAGTAATAACCCTCTGTGTACTGCCTTGCTCTCTTCACTGAGGAACTCCTCACCCTTGGCCCTACATTAACATTGTCATTTAGTTGCAGAGAGGCAGAGCTGAGAGGAGTCAGCAGACCTGGATTATCTGGACTACCTTACCTCCAGTGCGGACTATCTGGACTACCTTACCTCCAGTGCCTGCCCCAAGGCAGAGTGCCTCAAGCAGTTCCAATGTTTATTTGCCTTTTAACCTGCTAAATCAAGATGAGGGTGGCAACTGGCATCAAAGGGAACAGGGGCACTAGCAGAGATCCATCAGACTATAACTTGGCCAGCAGAAGTACCTCAGAGCTATGCTGAGGGAGACCCCCACTCCCAAAGGCTGAGGAAGTAGGTGGAGAAACAGGAAGTGTCTCAGTGGGCCAGCTTACCGCAGGCTCCCCTGTGCCCAAGCCTGTGGCTTCAACCCAAACTAGCTGCTGTTTGAGACTTGGTAGGAAATAATATTAGCCTTTTAGAAAGTTGCTGTTGATTAGGACTCTCTCCAGTAGTGGAAGACCGTGGTCTGTGGTCGAGTGAGTCCCTACCATCATTAGATATAAATGCATCCTGTGCCTTCCACTTCTCACCACCTCCTGTCAGGCGTCACTGCTGAACTGCAGCACCTGTGTCTACTCTTGCCTTCTCACTACAATTTGGTCCAGCCATCAAAATAATCTTATTAAAATGTAAACCCTCTTGGGGCTGGAGAGATGGCTCAGTGGTTAAGAACACTGACTGCTGTTGCAGAGGACCCGGGTTCAATTCCCAGCACCCACGTGGTGGCTACGAACCGTCCTTAACTCCAGTTCCAGGGGAATCCGAAGCCCTCTTCTGACCTCCGTGGCATTGCATGACATGGGTGCACTCACATACATGCAGGCAATACACTCATACACATAAAATAAAAACTAAAAAAAAAAAAAAAGCAAACCCTCTTACATTAAACTTTGTCCTTCAAACCCTCTCTCACACTAAATCCCTAGTAATCCTCAAGTCCCAGATTGCCTTGACTCCAACTTAACCCTTACCTTCATTTCCATTCCTTGCCCCTGCCCAAGCCTCTGTCCAACCCTTCACACCCAGAGCTGCCTCCCGTACTTCCTCATAGTCTTTGCTCAGCTAGTGTAACCTCCTCACTGAGATGTGATCATTTGCACAGACAAGGCCGAGCCTTCTCAGCACCTGGGAGCCCATCAGATCCTGGAGTTGCAGAAGCACTGCTGTTAGAAAAACCTGCCCATCATAATGAAGCCAAGAGAATGGATCCTGATCAGCGATTTAAAATGAAGCAGAATAGAAATCCACCAGAGTCAGTGTCAGAAGATGAATTACAATTTAAATATCTTAATTGGCTTTACGCAGTTCATTCTGTGAAGCAGGACACATTTGAATTAGCTGAGACATATAGGTCAGGGTTTACGAAGAATTGAAGAAAAATGCCAGGTGTGGTAGTGCATCCCTGTACTCCAGCACTCAGGAGGCAGAGGCAGGCAGATCTCTGTGAGTTCAAGGCCAGCCTGGTCTACATAGTGAGTTCCAGGACAGCTGGGGCTACAGGGAAACCCTGTTTCAAAAAGACCAAAAAAAAAAAAAAAAAAAGAGAAAAGAGTTGAAGAAAACAAAACCAAATACAGACGGGTCATCTCAAAGTTAGACTCCTTTAAAATGGGGATGAGGAGACAGAACTATAGGCAAATACCTGTGTTCAACACTAGGCTACTTCAAATAAGAAAGGCAGAACTTCATTTCCCACCAAAACTGGCCTATTTGGCACATTTTGCAATTTTGTCATATCCTCTGTTCCCAGTTTCTTAGGTCAGGTAAACAACTTGGTTTCAGTTTAATTTAGTGATAGGGAACTTCGGCATGAGTGACTCTGTTTTTGACTTTTAGCCTGGTCTGTTGGAGCCTGGGGTAAGAGCTTAGTTAAAAACAATTGCCTCTTATAATTTTTATTGAATAAAGGTTGCATATTAGCTCATGAAGCTTTATTTGAATGTGTGTGGTGTGTGTGTGTGTGTGTGTGTGTGTACTAGGCAAAAATGCAAAATGGCTTGTTGCCAGCACTAGTCTGCTGGCCATGTATATTAGATTATTTTTCTCATTGCTGTGACCAAGTGCCTGACAAAGCCACTTAAAGGAGGATTTTTCTGCTCACATTTGGAGGGAACAGTCCATCATGGCAGGGAAGGCAGGGACTGGAGCAGCTAAAGGTTCTGGCAGCAAGAGCTCATATCTCTGTGGACCGGGAAGCAGAGAGGGCCAGGAAATAGAACTGGTTTGTAAACCTCAAGGAAAGCCTGCCCTGCAAGAGATTCACTTTCTCCAACAAGGCCTTGTCTCCTGAAGGACAATTGTCTCCTAAAACAGTGCCACCAACTGGAGACCAAATATTGATAAGTAAACATGAGCCTGTTGGGGGAGCATTTTACATCCAAACCATAACATTGTGCTTTTGGAAAGGAACTCAAAATCTACTTGAACATCCAGAAGTCTTCCATAATAAGTGTGGGGTGTTCTGTATGGCTTAAGTGTAGATAGCCATACTCCTGTTATGGACTCCAGTCAGTACTCCATTGTTGGAGTTGTTAGGGAGTCCCAGCCAAAGATGAACTCTTTCTAGGAATGTGTAAGCTCAAGCTATAAAAGTTAGCTGCTGTTTAGTGTTGAATCATTGTCTAGACTTCAGGATTGGAGTGCAGAAGTCTTCTGTATGAATTTCTGAGTTAAAACAATGCTTAATCATACATCATGGGCTTTGTTGGGGAGCTGGGGAGCAGTGGTCTTTAACAATTCAAGCTCATAGCCAGACATGCCTTTAGTCCCAGCTCTCAGTAGGCAGAGGCAGGTGGATCTCTGAGATGGAGGCCAGCCTGGTCTACATAGCAAGTTCCAGGCCAGCTGGGGCTACAGGGAGACCCTGTCTCAAAAAAAGAAGGAAGGAAAAAAAAGCTCAAAGCTCAAGCTGGCTACCCTTAAACTTTGGCTGCATGTCGAAGAGATAGTCCTCAAGCTCTAGGCGATAACATTAAGAAGACTGTTAATTTTTCTGCTTTGTTACAGTGGGTCTAATTTTAGGCATTCTGTTGTTTAAAACCAGCCATGTGTTTGATGATGGTTATGGTCTTTGTATCTGCCAGTAGGCAGGGGGACCAAGGCCTTCTTAGAGAACACCCATACAGACTCACCAGTCCTTAACTGAATTCCATCCCATCCACAGAACCTCTGAAGTGGAATTACTCAAGATCTATATTCTTCTGTCATCTTTGGGAGCTTATAGCCAACTACAAAACCCTCTTCATCCATTCTTACCATTCTTAACCTCCAACCTCTGAACCTTAATAAAGGCCTGACACTTTTCTATAATGTTACATTAAAGGGAAAATCCTGAAGCATGTTTGCGTGTATGTTAGCCTTTTTGTATTAAGCAAAATTTCTTATAGGTTAAAAGAAAACAAAAAGTTTATATTTTCAGTAAAAACACAGGATATTTAATCCTGAAATTCTTGAAAGACCAGGACATAATGTGGTTGATGCCTTTATTAGCATACCCCATTGAAGGGCTGTAATGCTACCTGTGTGTGGCTGAGGACAGTGTGAAGACAGCAGGTAGAGGGTGGAGAGGGCAGTCTCCAGCCCACAGCATCCAACTCTCCAGAAGCTAAATCTGACCGGAAAGACAACCACCTTGCAAAGGTGGTGGGTTCATGTCCCTTAAAGGGCCCTCGGGGTGGTATGGTACACCCCAGATGATGAGAGATACTCTTGGGTTAGGTAATCCTAGGTGTTCCCAGATATTAAAATCTGTATGTCAAGATTTTGGACAGAGGTATGAAGAAGTGAAAAATGTTTTCATAGAAAGTTCAGTAGGCTAGAGCCATGTTGTTTGGAGGATTCTTATCAGTGTCTGGGGCAGAAATCTGTGACCACTTAGCTTTGTGATTCAGTCATTGCATATTTATGGTTATGTGCATGCTCTAATAATATGAATTAATATTTAATTCTTGTTCTCTGTCTACTTAGGGTCATTGGTTTCCTGGAAGCTATTGTTTGCATTAAATTTGGACAAGATCTCTTTTCTAAGACGCAGATACTCTATGTTGTGCTGTGGCTTCTTTGCGTGGTAAGTCATTACTTTCCCATGCCAAAATGTTAGCTGAACTCGCCAGCCATCTCTTAGAAAACAAAACCACAGAAACCAAATTCTGTTGTGCATCAGATTTCCTTAGAGGTTCACAGATGTTCCTATAATGACCAAAGATTGGTCCCAGTCAAAAAGTTTAAGAATAAAACACAACCATACAGCTACTGAAGTGGGTCACCTTGGCCAGTTCCAGGCAAATGCCTCAGCAGGCACACCACCTATGTGTTCACTTCTGGAAATTTGTGGGCATGTGCTAAGCTTTTAAGGACTGCCAGAAAGGGATAAGAACAGCACTGGTGCCCTCACTGTATCCCTTCACTGTACCTTTTATATTATAACACTTGTCATCATACATGGGCTTATATTCAGACCATGGGCATTCTGCCCTATAGGCCAAACTTATGCCCCAGGCTTGGATGAAAGGGAGTTTCTACTCTGCAGGGAGGAGCCCAGGGGGGTATCAGTCTAGAGCTCCAGCCCCTTTTCCCTGTTCTTTTCCTTCACTTTTAAAATGAAATATATTCTTCCCAGTTTAACCATTTAATGACTGTTCTTCTTCATTTGTTTGAAGTTACTATTTTAGAGGAAAATTCTTATTTTAAATTTGAACTTAAAATTTTTAGCCTTATTCACTCTAATGATTAATTGGAGGTTTTTAAAAATAATTGTAAAATAGTTTAACTGTTAGAGAGAGGATCTCTCATTCAAGTGCTACAGTGACCGGCTCATAGCTCATCTTATTTCTTTTGATCCCCTTGCAGACTGGCCTCTGGTATTTCAGAATGTGTCTCTGAAAGAAGATAAGATGGATTTATTTATTATTTATTTACAAAATATCACCATTCCATTATGATATATGAAAAGGAATTAAACAGTAATTCTTTAATGTTTTCAAATATCTAATCCAGGTTCAAATTATAAATGTGGGGGCTTGGTTTGGTTTGCATTTGGTCTTTTGAGACAAGACTTTGCTGTGTATTCACACCTTTCCTTGTGTTCACTTTGTAGCCCAAGCCGGCCTCAAACTCATGACCATCTTCCTGCCTCAGCCTTCTGCTGGAATTATAGGTGTAGGCCACCATACCGGCCTGTTCGTTTTTTCCCCTAAACTTGTTTTTTTAATATAATATTTTTATTAATTTGAGACTTGTGTACAATGCATGCATCCTTACGCCTCCCCCCTAACCCATACTTCCCAAGTTTATGTCTTCTTTGAGTCCAGTTTGTGTTGCCCATGATACTTTTGGGTGTTGGGCCATCCACTCGAGCAAGAACAACATACCAAGCACTGCACTCCTGAAGAAAATTGACTCTTCTTCCCCCAGCAACCCTCAGTTGTCAATAGCTCCTCAGTTAGGGGTGGAGGCTTGTGATCCTCTCCCCTCTCCATACTGAAATGTTGTCTAGCTTGATCTTGTGCAGGTTGTGCAGGCAGCCACAGCTGCTGTGAGTTCACAAGTGTGCAGCAGTCATACCCAAAGGACTGTTTTGCCCCAGTCCTCCTCAACCTTAAACTTCAGATTTTTGAGCAATTTCTTTGAATTACTTTCCACTCATCACAAGTGGCTGGTATGCTCATTAAGCTTCTCTTTCTCCACAGGTTTTCCTTTTGTTCCTAGCTCATTCTCCCTTGCAATTTATTTGTGGGAGAAACCATCTCTTTTGTTCTATAGATTTTCACACAATCTTATCAACGTCATCCTGTCCACTGATTAAACATATTTCTTTGTCATATGGGTTTTCTATAAGTTATATCTAGAAACTTGATCTGATTCATGTCTTTCTCTTTGGGGCCAGACTAGAGTTTTTATTTTTAAGGTGTTTTTTGTTGTTTCTCATAATGTCTTTTTTTAGGGTCACATGTTAGAAATCCTGAGTACACCAGAGTCTTGAGCCTTTTTTTTTTCTGTCTTCTTTGATCTTGAACAATAACAGATAATAATTATCTCCTCAGATGTGTTTTCCCATCCTGGTGACAGTAGAAGAAATAGTGGGTTGGGGTCTGGTAGGAGCATGCGCAGTTTTACTTTGGTTTTAGATTGCGCTCTGGTATGGGCACCTCAGGTGTGGAATGGAATCTGCTCTGCTTGCATGGGCAGGAGTAGCTGCTCACCTGGTACAGGAGAGCCAAGGAGCCACAGAGAGGATGAAACCAGAGGGCCCCCAGATGTGGGAGAGGGTTCTTACCACAGTGCATCACGGGCAGGCCAATCACATGTCATACATGACTCTTCTATTCCTGACTCCATGTAATGCAACTGATTTTGTTTTATCTGCCTCCAGAACATTGTGCTTCATGATGGTAAAGAAGCTTAACTCAGCCTTTGCCCCCACTGTCATGAGCACAGGGGTAAGAGATGTCCATGCAAAAAGGTCAGCTTACACAGACATGGAAATGTCAGAGTCCCAGTGGCTCAGAATGACAGTAGCCTATTTAGGGAGAGGGAACAAAAGGGGAGAGCTGGAGAGAAGAACAGGGGTTATCCGTGTAGGAAGGGCTGTGCATACCTGTAGTTAGAGCCCCGAATATTTGAAGAGAGAGAACAATGTGATCTGATTTGTGTTACAGAGAAACACTATGAAGGATGGGGGTCTGGAGTGACTTGAATGGAGGCAAAGCTTTAAGTTAGTGTTTCAGGGTCCTAGGTGACAAGTGACAGATGGGACCAAGGCAGAGGCACTGAAGTGCAGGGAAAGGGCTGGTTTGTGAATTGTTCAGCAGGCCAACCCCACAGGATACTGTTACCTTGTAATCACCCAGAAGGGACTTGAAGGCAGCTCTGTGGTTCCTAGTTTGCTAATAACAGCTGGGAGACATAGGAGCAGCCCATGACAGGAGGATCTGGTTTCAAGGTGGGGTTGAGTTTACAGGTGAAGGTGTCCTATCTCATTGGAAATTCTCATCTGTCCAGTAACATTGAAAAGGCTTGTTCAGAGGTGGGCTGACCCAGTCTGCCCCTGTGTGGGGCTAGAGGAAGATACAGGAACAGAGAATCAGTTAGAAAACTCTCCACAGGGACTTGACATTGGCTGAGGATGGGATTCCATGAGTGGAGCATGAGTTGCAGCCACAAAACACGGGGACCCTGAACACAGGCAGAGTCCCTCATTAATGTGATTAGGGATGGGAAATACGGAGAGGTCTTGAGTTGAAAGAGGCCACTGGCTTGCTCAGCTTTCTGTTACTGTATCAGGTACCTGAGATCATCAGTGCAAACAGAAAGGTTTATTTCAGCTCATCGTTTTGGAGGCTTCAGTCCATGCTCACTGGGCCCCATTGCTTTTGGAACAGTGAACACATCATGGTGTTCTCTTGGTAAGAGCAAAACCTGCTCACTTGATGGCCAGACGTGAAAGAACAAAAGAGAGATGTAGAGTTCCTTTATCCCCTTAAAAAATGGCCTCCAATGATCAAAGACTTCTTGCTAGACCTCACCTCTTAAGGGTTTTCCCACCTCCCAATTGTGACAAGCTGGAGACCAAGACTAATAGGGGGCCTTTGGGGGACATTCAAGACCCAAAGTGTAGCAAGTCCCCCCACTTTGTATGTTTCCTGACTAAAAAAGAATGGAAACAAGATTATTGCATTTTTTCAAACTGTAGCCTTTTTTAAAGAGCAAAATTGATCTTCGTCTCAGAAGTGAGATGATCATTATTCAATAAAAGAGCAGTAAGTTACACTGTGCCTCCCATACTGCTCAGAGAAACAAAGCTTCTAATTATTCCCCTTGCTTGGCAAAAGAACAGGCACAGAGTTTGAGATTGATGTGGAAGCAAGGATCTCATGTGCTGGCTGATACAGTTGCCTGATCAACCAACATTCATATTAATGTCCATTACCATACCCTGGAAGCCAATCTGGGTTTTGCCTCCTCCCTACAGACACACCTATAATCACAGACTGCCTGGCTCTCGTCCCACAGAGTTTTCTGTCCTCCCTCCCCTGTCCCTTATTAAACAAAATCTATGCAATTGCTACTTTAAATCCAAACCTTGACATTTTAAGTGGGTACTTGCCTAGATTTCTGTGTCATTGCAAACCCTTAAATTACAAGCTTTTGTCTCTTGGGCCAGTATAAAACAGGCCTCTTGTACCTAGGCAAAGTGGTTGGTTTGTGCAGCAATCATGATGATAAGCACCTGTCCTTTGCCACCTGTCAGTGTTTGACTGATGCCTCTGCAAAGCCAGCTCTGCTTGCTGTTTGCTGGGGGAGGGAGCCCCAGCTGCAGTCTGCCCTCACAAGCTTGGAGATGGGTCTGCCCTGGATGAGCTTGTACACCTGCCCCTGGTGGTCAGAATTTGCAATAACAGGCTATAACAGGCTAGTGGGCCCCTACCCACCCCCAACACATGCACCATCCTCCCAGGTTCATCCAGCAGCTGGTGACTGCTTTGGGAGGAGGAGTCTAGCTTTCCTCCTAAGGTGTGAAGCACAGGGCCAGGGCAACCTGTTATGAAAAGACCTAACACATAGGGAGGCTCACACACTGTGCATCTCTGCTTGCTGCCATTCTTAACATGCCACGAAAACTGCGGGTTTAATGTACATATGGAATTTGCACAAATATTAGAATATGCTAGAGGTTACAAGTGATTTTCATTTTAAAACAATATATTCATTTGCTGCATAGTTTTTTGGTGGGAGGGACCGTGAACATCTCTTTAAAGCTCCCTCATATAGAGACACCTGCTGGTTTGCGTATGGGTTGAATATAAAACAAACCAGCAGTTCTTGGGCTTCCTGTCCTCTTGCCACCAGACCTCTATCTCCACTTCCTTGGTATAGAAGAGAACGGCCAACTGGAGCACTGCGACTCCTCTCTTCTTTGGATCATAGGAGGACACTGTGGCCCAGCAGACACTTAGCAAATGTTGCTGACCTAAAGGAACAGGCCAGAGCTACGCTTGAGGCTGCAGGGATGAGGGCTGATGGCCCTGCCACCCCTACCTGTCTGTGCTCCACCCACCAGACTGTGGCTATGCAGAATAGGCATGGCTGGTGTTAACTACTCCAATGATGCTTTTCCTTGTCAGTAGATAGAGGAGTTCTACGGTAAATAGGGACATAAAGATGTAATATCATAAAGATGTATGTGTTTAGATGGATAGCACCCTTAGAACTAGGACCCAGGGCATCAAGAGATCTGTGTTCTAACTCTGCTTTCACTGCATGCCTTTGTCCATAGAGGGTAGTCACCTCTCTGAGTTGTCATTCCTCTTCTGTTAAATGCAAGAGGTAACTTAATGATCTCTGAAATGGTTTTCTGGATCTAAAGCTATGATTCTTGAAAAGAACTAAAATCTTTCAGGAAGAGAAGGTCCCACCATGACTTCATAACTGCCCCATTGTTGGGACGAGGTAAGAGGTAATGATAGGTACACAAATGTTCATGGCACATATGGTAGGGGAGACGGACTAGGTGGTAGGATGGCTTGGTTCAAGTGTTCCTGAAACAGGACTCTGTAGCACAGGCTGTTTTGTTTGTTGCCTCGCTTGTAGCCTGGAAGGTAAGGCCTGCTCCTCATGCTGGTCCCTCACCTGTGCCCTTCTTCCCCGCCCTCCTTGCCCCCTCTCCTTTACTACTCAGTCTGGGCAGCCAGAGACCTTCCCTAAATTTCAGGGGGGTTTTGACACATGTTGGAATTTTGGGTTCTTGCATAGTCCTTCAATATCCCTGGGACATGGTTTCCATGACTCCCCTGGTGTTCAGATCTAGCAGTCATTGGCCTATTCATTGCCATTATATTTGCACAGAGCCTATGCACATCTTCCTGTATAATTTAAATCATCTGTAAATGAAACATAAGTATGGTACAAATCATTGTTAGATGACTAGATGGTAGATGTTAGGGAATGGTGATAAGAATTTAAAGGCCTGTGTGTTCAGTAGAAATGCACTTTTTTTCCAAAATATTTTTGGTCCAGTTTGTTGGCTCTGAGGACAGGAAACCTATGTGTGAAGTCTCGTTTAGGGTATAGTATAGGTGAACATTCAAGACTGAGAATGTTCGCTGCCTCTGGGTAGCCACAGACTTGCCCTCTCATTTCACTCAGGACCTTACAAAGTACTTTCAGTCTCTTTATTTTCCTGTCTACATGAGCAACAACAGGGCTCAGGGTAAAGGCCACTGGCACTAAAAAGCCAGGACCAGCAAGGACAGCATTGCCCCTCACTCTCAGTCAGTCCACTGGGGAGTTTGTCCTCTGATCTCTCAGGCACTATTATAAACAGACAGACTGAGGCTTTGCTACTCAGAAGTCCTCTTCCCCAAGCTGAGTCTCCTAACTCTACAGTATGAAAGCAGGGTAGAGCCACAGATCGTGAACTCTGGTCTCATGAGCTTTAGTTATACAGTGCTCACCCACACCCCAGCGTTGCTTATCTCTTAGTGCCCATCTCTGCCATGTTCAGCTATTTTATAACCCTTCCCCTCAGACAGATGGCAGAAAGGCACTGAACCATCTTCTAGATTCTCACCGAAACCTCAGCTTCTGGGAAGTGGCGTAACATATCATTTATAAAATGGCTTTGTGTGTCTTTTTGTCTTCCAGGCCTTCACCACGTTCTTGTGCCTGTATGGTATGGTTTGGTATGCAGAGCACTATGGTCACCGGGAAAAGGTATGGGAAACAGAGGCAGCCTTCACTTAAATTACCTGCCCATGCTTGGGAGCAGGTAGCCTGAACACACACACAAGCAGCCCCTAGGCAGCTATGTCAGCCTTGCCTCTGTATGAATTTAATCATGCCAGGATTCGTTCGCCATTATGCTTGCTGGACCTGCTTGTGGCTGGCCTGGTCAATATGTCTATTCTCCTTTTGCAAGGGGTTTAAATCTTAATTATATGTTTAAAACAAGCATAGACTGGGAAAGCCCTGAACCTGTTCTTGAGGCTGGCTTGTATTCTGGTTCTTCCCTCTTTTCAGGTCTCTTTATGTGTCCCAATACAGGCTCCCCACCTGCAGACCCCTGCTCTGCCTGCCCCTTAGTAGATGCAAAGATTAAAGTAGAGAGTGGATCTGGATGGGTTTAAACACTAAAGCAGTCCTGGGGATTATGGGACTTTTTGTTTGTTTGGTGTGTGTGTGTGTGTGTGTGTGTGTGTGTGTGTGTGTGTAGGGGACTAAGGGGAGGTGTGTGCATGCACATGGATGAGCTTATGTGTGAAGACCAGAGGTCAGCTTCAGGTGTTATTTCTCTTTGGGCACTGTCTACCTAAGGTTTCTTTTTTGAGACAGAGTCTCTCACTGATCTGGAATTCACCAAGTAAGACTAGGCTGGGCTAGCCAACATACCCAGGGACCTTCCTTTCTCTGCCTCCCTAATGCTGGGATTACAAGCACAAGCCACTGCACCAGGCTTTTTGACATGTATTCTAGGGACTGAGCTTAGGTCCTCATGTTTGCACAGCATGTACATTAGTGATTGAGCTATCTCCCCAGCCCTGTTTTTGTTTTTAAGTAAAAATAATGCTTTCGAGCTTTGTTTATAACTTTGTGTGTGGATGTCTATGTGTGTGCATGTGTGTGTGATATCAGGATCAAGCCCAGGGCCTTGCCCATGCTACATCCCCAGTCTCAGAACTAAGTGCTTTCTAGAAGGTTGATTGTATATGGTCTGGCAGAAGAACTTTAGTTTTCTAGCCGAGAAACGTGAGTGTGAAGTCTTGTCACTCTCTAGGGATGAGCTCAGCCTGGGATCACTTTTTTGTCCTGCCACTCCTCCCAGGAGGGACCTGAAGTCCCCCCCCACACTAAACCTGTCCCTCTCCCTAGACCTATTCAGAGTGTGAAGATGGCACGTACAGTCCAAATATTTCCTGGCACCATGGGAAAGGCTCCAAAGGTAACTTTGTCTTGTTCATTGTTTAAAGTTTTACCCGGTCCTATGCACCCTCAGGAAGAGATTTGGGGTCAGTTTTTAATCCTCTGAGTGTTGGTGATAAAGACCTCAAAGGGTGTCAAACCTACTCATCAGATGTCTCCTGTCACTAAGAAACATTCAACAGTGCTCACAGAATCTGGTGAGACTTGTGTTTTGTGAGAAGAAGTTCGCTTTCCTCAGGCAGGAATATAATGAGGCCCAAACTGTCTCCAGTGTCCTAACAGGAATATTTTCCCCCTTGGCTTTCACAGTGAGTGAAAAGGTTTAGAGAGAGCCATGTGTCCAGGGGCCTTTCAGAAAAGGCTAATCAATTTAATGAATTTATTCAGGAGGCAGAGCCTTGTGAGAGGGACCCTCTATTGACCTCTCTCTGGGAAGCATTTTAGAATGTTCTAGAACCACTGGGTTCTTTGAAATCTTTAAATTTCTAGAATAATGACACAGGGTGCACCACCAGCCAGTAATTCTTCATCAGTTGAGCTAAGCAGGAAGCATGGCTTTGGGGAAGAAACCGAGTGGGAGAGACTGAGTTCACAGTGGCCTGTGGAGGAGGAAGACGTGAGTTCCTCCAGGTGCCTTGCTTAGAGATCACCTCTGGGAGCTGCTGGTGTGAGCCCCACATAGTTCCAGCCACCCTGAGGGGACAGGAGCACCTTCTGTGGAATACTGACATGGGTAGGCAGAGGTGCTCCCCAGACTCACTGTGCTTAGGACCATGTGTCCACTTAGCATCCATTCCTGGCACTTCGATTCTCTAGTGAAAAGAATCCAGAATCCAGGAGTGATAGAGAAGTTTAGTAAGAAAAGAAAAAAAAAATTAAAAACCCAGAAAACTAAGAGGAGCTTTTGGATTAAAACAATGGAGACAAAACTCTGGGAACTTTTCTAAAGGCTGGGGTGGGGGGTTAGCTATCTTTGGCAGAGGTTTCACACAGGACTGGACCTGAACCCTGGGACACCAGGGGCTTTGGCTTAGACACTAGACTAGGGATTGACCACAAGCTCCAGCAGAGGAATGAGTTGACTTAGTATTACTGTGTGACCAATCACTGGGCTATCATTCATGGGCAGGCAGTAGGAGCCTGGCATGTAAGATGTTGGTTTTTTAGCTAATACCTTTATTTTTATGAAATCAAGAATCTTTTGCAACTGAGAGCTTAGAAAGCCTGCTTAGCAATTCAGTTTAGTTGTTAAGCTTAAGACGGATACCCATGTTTGTGCTTTGATTTCGTTTGTCCCCTTACTTCCAGTCCTTATCACTGTGATATGACCATATCTACCTTACATAGTGCTGGTGGGAAAATTCCTCGGGAGAACCCTATCGGGCAGTTCCCTTGCACAGCTGTACTGAGCACTGGGGTGTGCCTGGCCTTAATTTATTAATGAGGCCACTAGAGGGAGAGCAAGTATCAGGAAAGAGCTGGTTCCTAGCTGTCAGGCCAGGGCAGGCAGGAATGAGCGAGCCATAGACCCTAGGAGCCAGCCCTGAAGCCCAGAGGCCCCTGGTGATGGTGTGTTGGCTTCCTTTGGCCAGGTTCTGAAGACAGCCCACCCAAGCATTCAGGCAACAATGAAAGTCATTCTTCCAGAAGAAGGAACCGGCATTCCAAGTCCAAAGTCACCAACGGAGTTGGGAAGAAATGAAAGACCCTGGTTAATCACAGATGTTCCAGAGAGTGCCTAGAACCGAGGGGGAAGCTGAACATGTTTGGACCTTCCCATGCAGAGATCAAAATGTACAGAGCAAACAGAAGAAATAGAGGGAACTTTGGGGGTCATGATCTAAGAGTGTAAGTCTTGTTTCCTGTAGGCCAAATTGGGCAGACCATGGCCTGGGATGCTTCGCCAATTGGAGGTGTCTCCTAACTTCAGCACTTGGCCTTGGTTGCCAGTAGCAATACAGTATGTTGGAAGGAGAGGACAGCTATTTGCTCGTGCTTGCCAAGGCCAGCTTTGTACTTGTGTGTCTTGTGGATGCTGTATAAATGTCTTCATTTAGATGCAGGTGTAAACAGGTGGTTAATGGACTGGCCGCCAGGTTTTATTTTTATGTCAGCCTTTTCATTTGATTGATTGAAGTTCAGGCCACTTTCTCATTTTTTACCTTATTTTTGTTTTCAAGTTAGAATGCTTAAAAGCTTCCAGAACACACTGAAATTGTGGGGGGAGGGTTCCTTCCAGAGAGACAAAGAACACGGAAAGTGTCTTGCTTCCCATCCTCAGTCCCCAGCCACATGACCAGCAGTCTGAGTTTCAGAAAGGCTAGCTGCCTGTGCTGGAGCCCGGGTTTCAAATCAGAACCTTTTTTGTTCTATTCCAAATGTCATTTGTCCAGACTTACCCACAGCACACAAAAGTGACTGCTGGAGGAGTGCAACACTGGCTCCTCTCCCGCCAGGTGCCTTTTACATGTGCTTGGTTTCCTTCTGTGGTGTGTTGCTTACTGTGTCTTTCTGTCCCATGTGAGGTGCTGGTGAGTATTAACTTTCATCCGTGCCATACTCTTCTAGAACATTCTCCTAGTCCATCCTGGATCCCTGTTTTAAATAAAACAATTCACATTAAAGCTCATCAAAGATCTGTCTCTATTAGAATGCCTGTTTCTTTGCATTGAATTAATATTTCCATTATTTGTAAGGAATCTCTGTATTTTTGAAGTGATGTTAGGATAATATGTATGTCTACAAAGTGAGGCAAAAGAAAAAATATTTTTAAAGTCATATATGTACATATATCCCCTTGTTCTTGACCTTCGAAAGCAATCCACAGAAAATGAACAATACCGCCATTGTTGTTGACTGCAGTCGTGGTTACAAAGTTGGATTTTCTTTCTCTAACTAGTGCTCTGTACTTGGTTGATTAGTTTGAAGATAAAACAGTCTTTTTTCTCATTTCACAGAGCATAATGGTTTCCATGTCTTTGCTCCCTTTAAGGAAATCTTCTAAATACAGAAGTGTTATGTTTTCCTCCTTCCACAAAAGAATTCCCAGGTGAGAGGGTTAACTGTATCATACAAAGCTAGGGTCACAGCCTGTGCCCTAGTTGACCACTTGGTTCAGAGCCACCCACATACTTGCTCACAAAGCCAAACATGTCCTCAACAGGAACATCAGCAGCCACGGTCCCACAGTATAAGGCAAGGGTGGGCCACAGTTCTCCGCCTTCCTGTGCTGTCTAGGTAGCAGCTGTAGCATTCCATGAATGTGCTGATGGGAACAAAGAAGTGCATGCTGCTTACACTGCCTGCTGTCCCCGTCCCTCCTTTTGCAGTGTAGGAATTGAACCCAGGGCCTCTTGCATGCTAGACAAGAGCTCTACTGACTGAACTTCAGGCCTAGCCTATGTGTAATTACATTGCATCAAACGGGCCTTTTTCTGAACATGGTTCTGATTTCTAAATATCATTTTACTTTGCAAGTGGTGAGTTTGTTTTGTTTCTTTGTGCATTTTGCTTTCTGAGCACCCAAAATTGAATCTCCCTGTAGGTTCTTTGTCCTTCCTGTGCCCATGACACATTACTGAGGGTTTCCAGGTTCATTTTCTAGGAGAGCTGGGCCTCGTGCCATAGGACTCCTCTGGCAGGTAGCCCAGTCCCACCCAAGGGGCACATGTCCTTTTTCCACAGCCAGACAGAGGAACTGCCCATGGGGCAGGTGGTAAATTTGACATTGCTGTGGCATGTGCAAGACCCAAAGTGCACACAAAACAATGTTTTTTCTCTGGCTTTGTAGGAAACAGCTATGATAGTCCCCATTAACTTTGAGTTCAGACTTTATTTTTCCCCTTTGAGTAAGTGTTCTCAGCTACAGTGGTTACAGAACCAGCACATTCCAGACTGGCCAGAGCTGTGGCTGCCATGCCTCTTCCAATCCGTACTACTGGGCATGGCCCACTTTTCCATCCATCTGTGGAAATGGACCTGACATTGATGGAATTAGAATAGATGTTTCAGAGTCAACCTTCAGTGGATGATTTGACCATAAGTTACCTCATGATTCTCATCTTCAGATAGCTGTCTTAAAGACACCATTGTTGAGGGTATAAAGCAGGATGCAAGTTTCCTGTATTTTTCTCTGTATGTCACACTGTACCAAGTGCTAGGTATTCTTCCCTTTTTGTTATTCTTGGTCACTCCAGGGCCTCTCTTTCCTTGTAGTCCCTTCACCATTCATAGAAGCTTTGTCCAAACTGCTCTCCCAGACATCAGGCTCAGCCATTCATGGATACATTAAGCATTTTGATGTAAATGCCAGTCTTTACCAGAACTGCTTCTGTGGGAAGCTTGGGAGTCAAGTTCTCGCCCAGCAAAAATGAAATTGGTTACCAACCACGTAAGTTCCAGTGCTGTTGGTTCCCACTCAGAAGCAGCTTGCTTCAGAACATGCCGAAAAACAATGATTTCTGTTTCTGTCAAGGCTTGCCTTTAGGAATCAGCCTTCTAGAGTGTTTGGGGTTGAATAGTACATTTAGAGGCCCTCACAGGGTGACTAGGAGAGAAGGGGGCTGCACACAGAAGGGTTTAACACAGATAGAAAAGAGGCAACGGGCTGGAGAGATGGCTCAGCAGTTAAAAACACTGGCTGTTCTTGCAGAAGACCCGGGTTCAAATTCTAGCACCCACATGGCAGCTAACAAACTGTGACTACAGTTCAGGGGATCCGACAGCCTCTTCGGTCCCCCTTGGGCATTGCACAGCACGGGTGCACTTAACCTACATTCAGGTAATACACTTATACACATAAAATAAAAATAGTAAAATATTTTTTAAAAAAGGAAAAGAAGCAACAGAGAATCTCGGTTGGCAGACTGCACTGAGCCCTCTGAACGTCAGACGTTTGACCTCCTTTGCTTTTTCTTGGTGATTGTCCTGGGATTCCTGTGAACACTGTGATGTTTACCAGGTCTGCATCATTTAAACACCTGGAAATCCCACAGGTGGCCTATTGCAGCGTTTAGTATATTTCCGGTTTGTGTGGAAGTCAAAATGTAAAGAGAGCCAAGACCTCTAGCATTCCATCACCTAGTGGAATGCCTTTCTTCTTCATGTGTATGCAGTGATACCAGGCGTGTACCACCTCACTTGGCTTGCTGAGTAGAAATTTGAAGCTTCCTGACCTACAAGATGACATTTCCTGCCACAGTCCCACACCATTCAAAGGTTTGAGAAGGTTCCTCCAAGGCTTCACCTGGTTCATTTTGCTAACATCTCATCATGATCTGGTAGCTTAATAGTTTCATTGAAAACCAGTTACTATGTTCAATGCTGTGGTGGTTTGAATGAAAATGTCCCCCATAGGCTCCAAGTTTTGGATATTTTGTTCCCAGCTGGTGGTGCTGTTTTGGGAGGTTTTAGGAGGTATGGCCATGCTGGAGGAAGTACATCACTGGGGGTGGGCTTTGAGAGTTCTTAAGCCTTGCCAGATTTCCAGTTGTGCTCTGCTTCATATGCCAGCTTGAAGATGTGAGTGTTCCTCTTTCTGTTCCAGACATGTCCTGCCACCACGCCTCCCCACCATCATGGACTGATTCCTTTGGAACCGTAAGCTCAGATAAACTCTTCCTTTTATAAGTTCCTTTGCCCATGGTGTATTATCATAGCAATAGAAAAGTAACTAATACAAATGCCCCTGACTGGCTGGAGAAGTAGGTGACAGGACTACTAATGGAGACATCTCCTAAGCCCCCAGCATTATTGTTCTCTTGAAGCAGAGAGAAGGGTGCCAGAAAATCCATTCCCTCTCAAAGCCTAATAAGGACAGCAACATCATTTAGATATGAACTTCACAGGAGGGCTTTGCTTGTAGGGCCGAGTCAATCAGTTTCAAGACCTCTAGCCTCCTGGGCTCATGCTTGTACTTGGTGTGTGCCCATGTGTTAGTTACCTCAATTCTGTGGTGCTGGAATGTTCTGAAGATATGGATGCTTCAAAGGTCTGCATCTTGTGATCCCCAGTGATGTCCTGGATCAGTAGGAAGGTTTCCTCACAGCCCCCACCCTCCTCTGCTTAGTAGTCACACTCGAATGTTCCAGGGTAGGGCACCTCCCCCTTTCTGGATGCTGAGTAAAGGAGATTGTGGCTTCATAAACCACAGGAAATGAGGTTTGTGTGTCTTTAAAAGAAAATGATTTCTTAAAACATCATACCAAAGAACCAGAATCATTATATGTAAAGTATGCACACAATAGCCTTAATTACAGGGTCAAGTTACAGGCAGGATGACAGAATGCTCCCTACTGGAAATATGCACTGTACCCGACTTGACCCACATCCCTAACAAAAGCCATTTGGGCCTGCTGTCGCCCATTTAGCCAATGGCTCCATGCGTCTTGGGCTGATGAGGTAGTAGACAACTACAGCCAATATACTAAGATCCCTGACTTGCCTGGTGTTTAGCATCCCCCACCTTCTCTTCAAGTGGAAATACCTAGACCAGGGAACTGAGTTCTATAGCACCAAGTCTTCAGGACAAAGGTATTCGGGAAATCAGAGCCTTTGAAACACCTCTGAATGTAGCTCTCAGAGCCTCTGTCTTCCCGTTAACCTCAGAAGCACAAAGCTTGCTTCACTTGTGAACCAAGTGCCAGAGTGGTATCTCAATTCCAGAGAAAGGGGTATTGTAGATCCTCACAGGGCCTCAGTGGTATCTGGCTGTTTTCTGGGATCATGAGATTGAATAATTGCTCCTAGGAACTGGACCAGGAGGGAGCCGTCTGGTCAACCCAGGCTCTAAAGCTGTTCCTCCCAGATACCTGAATGTAATGCTGGTGTTCCAAAATTGTTCCCTATAGCCAGACCATTGACTCCATGTTCTCACCCACCACCCTCTTTCCCAGCCTCAGCAGCTGACAGCGGACAGTAGGCTCTTTGGAGGAATCACAAACTTTGTGTCCCCTCCTCTTTGCAAAGAGACTCAGATCTCAGAGGTTTGGGGGACTCCCTTCATTACAGATGGCCAAACTGCCAAGCCACTTCTCCAGATGTTGACTACAAGGGAAACGACTGCTGCTGGCCATTAGGGTCTGTTATTTTAGGTGACAGTTCTGTCCCCAGCCTTTCCATCCTTTTGTGTCTGTGACTTGAAGTGGACCCTGAGGGGTTACTGCATGCTACAGACACTTCCAAGGCAATCCTCTCTGCTAGCAGCTCCCTCTGCCCGCAGGAATGTGATTTACAATCTGGGGAGCCATAAAGCTCTGCCCTTCCCTTCTGAAAAGCTGCAAAGTATACATACTAAATTCCTTTGGTCAGCAATAATGGAATAGCCAGGGTGGGTTATTTTTTTAATATGGGATGCATATGGCTTTAATTTCTGACAGACTGTCCACCACGGTATTTCTAGGGAGAACAGATAACAGCAAAATGTCCTACTGTGATAACAGTGTTGCTCCTAAATGAAAAATAGCACTTCTTAGATGACTCACAGGCCAAATACTTTGAAGTACCACTCTTCACCAAAGGCGATGGGACAGTAGGTGACAGGAAAATTCCAGTACTCATTAGCCTTGCTCTCTGGTATCTGTCCAATCTAAACCAATCCCCAGTGTTAACACTTAGCCAACTCCCCAAATTTCACTTCCCAGGAGGAG